CAGGGGAGGCACCCGGATGGCTTTATGTAATCATAGATATTAGAGACTAGTCTATAATATCTATGATGTAATCTATAAGGCTGCTATCTACCCACAGTTACTCGAGGCTTGATAAAAATGGTAATTCCAGCTCCAGTGGTGTATCAATCATGCACTTAAGCAGTCTGGTAAATTTTTTTTCATAAAAATGGAACAAGCTTGCAAGAAGGAGCATTGAAGGGAATGTATAGCAATAAAAAAATAAAAATTATACTCTAAAAAGTATTTAAGAGTAGCATTACAAAAGTATAATGAAAAAATGCACACTAAAATCTTTCAGCTGCAAAATAACAAAACATAAAACATTCAAGTTACTTTTTAAAGTAAAATTTTCCCCTCAAAGTGCTTCTGATCTCGGGCATTTGATGATACTTGTACGACATCTTATAATCAATAGGATTCTCTGATACTTTGTAATTAACAAGAAGTAAGAGCTCATAAAGACTAAGCCTTGAAGAATGCTTGGAAATAAATTCACACAATGCTTTTATATATTGTGAACCAGTGTAGACACCTCTTGCAGCAACGTTACCATCAGAAGTGCTAAAACCAAACAAGAAATCAGCCTCTGGTGGTAATGCTCGAGCAATACCATCAGCAACCATCTCTTCTTCTTTTGGAGGCCATGGCACAGATGAATCAGCAGTTGAAGGCTCTGGTACTTCAGTTCCTCGACAAGCTTGAAAGAAAAATATTTTGGGCTTTCCATGAAGTGCTGAACATTCCTTAGAATTTACAATATTAGCCAATTCAGGCACAGTAGCAGTCTCACCATCAACTCCTTCAATCCCCTTTGGATTGCCATGAGACAGAATGCAACATATGAAACTATCGTGTTTCTTGGTTACTACCCCAGCAGCAATTGCACTAACTTTTGTCTTTATTTCAGCGGCTTCTAAATCTTCCTGAACTATCACTTGATAGCGAAGACCATCGAATAATTCTTTTAATCTTTTAGCATCTTCATTTGATGATTCACGATCAGCTTTATCTTTCTCTTTAAAGTAGACGTTATTGATAATCAGCACGACTCCACGTTCTCCTTTCTCATTGACTTTATACTTGTACACAATATCATCTGCAGCTTTTTCTTCATCGTTCTTTTTCTCTTTTTTTGATCCGAAACCCCATGCATCAGATGTCACCTAATTTGTTGTAACTATAAGCATACATTGTTGTATAATCTTACTTCCTCTTTTTCTTGTTGTGGAGATGAAGATTGAGCTATGAAAAAAATTCACAAATATAAATCAGACATGCATATACTACTGTATAACAAAAGGCAATTAGTTTTGCAGAAGTAATACAATGAAACCAAATAGTAAAAATTAGTGGAAGATTATAATTATATCATGTAAACATGATACAAAATTTATGACAAAAAATAAACACAGAAAGGCAATACATAAACACAATGCATGAGTGAGTATCAATTATCACAAATTAAATCTTTATAGTATATCTCACCACTTCCTGCTGCATTAGTAGTATGAATGGGAGATGGACCAACTGCTGAGTCAGAAACAACAGTAGGAACTGAGCCACCAGCAGGCTCATACTTAAGCAATTTGGGAGCCGGACCAACAGAGTCAGCAACTGAACCACCAGCGGATTCGTATTTGGGCAAGTTATATCCATCTATAAAAAATACACAGTAAAATATTCATCACTGCATGTGACCATGATGTGACAGGCTATTTTTGCTGGAATAATATCAACTGTGGCAAACTACTCATTACTAATTTCTTTTAAACAAAAATTGCATGGACTTATGAATATTGTATTGAGCCCAAAACCAAATCTTACATTTTTTAGCTATTTCCTTGGCTGCATTCTGAGTAAGCAAAGACTCAGTATTAAACAGTATGAGTACAAAGTCGTCCAGATAATCTGGTAATATCCCAACCACTGAAGTGATCTGTGTGACAAAATCTTGAACTCTAGCCGGTAATGTTTTCCCACACAATTCAAGAAAGGCTCTCCGCTGCCCATGGTTAACTATTTCACATTCTACACAGGCATTAACTACAGCAAGGAAATCAGCCTCATTTGATGAGAGAGCATCGTTTAAAGTGGAAATGTTCCCTGTAATGGCTTTCTTTGCTGCTCTCTTCCTCTGCTGCTCAGACATTCTGAATTGAAGGGCGTTGGCAGAGATCTATCTTGGGCGTGGCTAGTAATTATTAATTATTATCTAATATCTATAATCTATTTATAATCAGTTTGCATTTCCAAAAATTGACTATATGTATAATAATTATCACAATCTATAGATGATCAAACCACATTTTCTACTAAGAGTCCCCGTCACTTTCTTGTTGTTGCTCAGCTTTCAATGATTTTCTTTCTTTTCTTCTTTTCAATACTCCATGACCTCCCCTAACCATTATTGATAATCCGTATATAGTTAGACCAAAAAGAAGGATGGACACTGTCCTCTGAGAGTAATCTGCGATGCGACTCCAAACCATTTTATAATATCTCAATCCCAATCAGACAGCCATTTTAAGGGGCGTGGCTGGGTGTGGTTTATAGAATTACACAATATTATCTCTGTTGGCTGAAGATTGTTATTTCTCAGTTTTTTAATAATAATGATGCTCAGGATCCTCAAGCAGGGTATGTTAGGAAAAATAATTATTTCAGTATGCATTATAGTAAAATAATAATATTGAATATATCTAATATCTAGTAGGAATATTAGATCTAATATATATACATAATGGTAATTAACTAATTATGTGGTAGTAAAAGTGTATGAGATTTTACAATCAGATTTTCATGACAAATCCCCCCCCCAAGTTTGTCACATACAGTAATTTTAATTATAAAGGTTAACATTAGCATATTTAGGTGTGACCTTTCTCTTGACAATTGGGTTGATTTTTGAGCCTTTACTATCTACTGGTAGTCTGGTATTACAGAAAAGATGATTCCCCTTTTTGTACAATCATATATATATATAATGTATATATATACATGTATCGACATTATACAGTGCAAATTTTTTGAGGTACATGTATAGTTTTTTGTACATAAATTTTGGAAATTTCTGAAAAATCTACATGTACTTTGTGAATTCAATATCCACGAATCTTTAAATCAAGAAATTCACAAGATATATAGCCTCAATAATATTGTATTGTACAGTAGTCTAGCTTTATATTACTCATTAGGTAGTACTGTAGCTCCAAGAGTGTCTCGACTAATACATTCTAGTCATGGGCTAAGAGCTAGAGGAGTCACTCATCCACAAATCACCACCCACTATTCAGTTGTTCCACGTCATAATGATCCAAGATGGGAGGGTGAGTATATGGATTAGTTTTAAATAAAATGTATATGCATAATGTACATGTACATGTATATGTCAAGGTTTCCCACAAAGCAAAGAAAGCATACTAATTATAAGCTAAACAGCATTCTATAAGCTAATAAGTGCTACAGTTACAGCATTGTGTTGTACATTGTGCAATTTTAACTTTTAAAATTTATAAAAAGTCAAATTTTGATTGAAATCAGCTCAAACTTTCTACACAGCATAAGTACATGTACATGTATATGTATCAGGAAAAATTATAAAAGTTTAGAAATTTTTTTTTGACGTTTTTGACCAAATTTGACCAAAGGCACTGTACTATAGTACAGGGTCTTTCACCTGATTTTGGAGCTGCTTTAAAAATTTGCAAAAAAATCCAACTTTGATTGGAAGCCTCTCAAACTTTCTACACAGCATAAGTACATGTATATGCATTAGAAAAAATTATAAAATTTGAGAAATCTCTCCTTGAAATTTTTGACGAAATTTGGCCGAAGGCACTGTACTATAGTACAGGGTCTTTCACCTAATTTTGGAGCAACTTAAAAAATTTGTAAAAAAATCCAACTTTGATTGGAAACCTCTTAAACTTTCTACACAGCATAAATACATGTATATGCATTAGAAAAAATTATAAAATTTGAGAAATCTCTCCTTGACATTTTTGACGAAGTTTGGCCAAACGCACTGTACTATAGTACCAGGTCTTTCACCTGATTTTGGAGCAACTTTAAAAATTTGTAAAAAAAGCCTGGAATCCTCTTAAAGTTTTTATACAACATAAGTACAAGTTCATGTACATGTATATGCATCAGAAAAAATTATAAGAATTACGAAACCTGTGCTAGTAATTTTTGATGAAATTTTGCTAAAGACCCTGTCCTATAATTGGCTGCTTTGGCAGTTCACTAACAAGAAGCTGCATAAGCATGCCAATAAATGCCCTGTGGGAAGCCCAGATATACACGTACATGTGGGGATAAACAGTAATAACAATCTATGCATGCTTGCAACTTTTGTAAAATGTAATTTTGTTGCTCAGTTGGAAAGTCAGTCAATACATGTACATGTACATGTACATATTTATTATTCAATTTTAATACTACATGCAGTTATTAGCCTCGCCTATGTAAGGTATAGGTAGTTGTTTTGTCTGTCTGTCATTCATACTGTACAACTGAATTTTGTTATTAAAAAACATACCTTTAACACCACCTGTTCCCAGCTCATAGATCTTTCTCAATAACTTGGAAAATATTGCTTTAAATCTTGTTTTTAAAATTATGCATTGACTCTTCTATTAATTTTACTTCTGTTCACATTATTTATGAGCGTATTAACAATTATTGTTATTATTAGTTTTGTGATGTACATATTTAGGTATTGATATGTCCCGAGAGGCTGATGAGTGTGATGTACTGATTGTTGGTGCAGGGCCAGCTGGTCTATCAGCAGCCATTAGACTCATGCAGTTGAGTGAGGAGAGTGGAGAGGAGATAAGAGTCTGTGTTGTTGATAAAGCTCCTGAGGTAGGAGCCCACACATTATCAGGTGCTGTCCTTGAGCCAAGAGCTCTTAATGAGCTGTTCCCTGACTGGAAGGACAGAGAAGTAAGTGGGGTCATGATTTGTGATTTTGTGTAGTATACATGTACATGTACATGTAATTGCGTAAAAAATTTAATGATGACTCCAGGTTGACATAACCATTAGCCAAACAGATAGATCAGTGATATTTACCACCCACACCTAATTGAATTTTATTTGTACAGTCATATTATGTCATACAGTCATTATGTTTTACAGTCATACTCCTTTTCCTCTCATTCTTATATTTCCCTCCCCTTCCTTTGTCTTTCTCTTTTATTGTTTACTTTTCTCCTTCCTCCCCCTCCCTCTCCCTCCTTTTCTCTCTCTCTCTCTCCCTCCCTCTCTCT